GAGAGAGAGAGAGAGAGAGAGAGAGAGAGAGAGAGAGAGAGAGAGAGAGAGAGAGAGAGAGAGAGAGAGAGAGAGAGAGAGAGAGAGAGAGAGAGAGAGAGAGAGAGAGAGATTTCTGTGACTTATTCATGGAGGTTTTCTGCGCTCTCGATGTCTGCGCGCTGAAAGAACCCGACGTGGAGTTAAAAGCTTTTTAACCGCAGGCTAGTGGACACCGTGAGTGAATGCAGCAGGAGGTAGCGAAGACATGACTTAGGGACAAGGTCATGTGGCCTGTTGCATAACTGTCAAACAGAAGTTGAATGGAGTCAAACATTAAATAAAGCATAACCGATGACGATGTGTGCCCCACACGCACACACAGATACTTTGAATGGCTGTGTTTGCCCATGACCCATCCATAATGGATGGCGGGCTCATAGCGTCCCACGGATGGAGACAGAGACGGTCTCAAGAGAGAGAGAGAGAGGGGGCATGATGGCAGAAATGGAAAGTATTGTTGGAGAGTGAAAGACAACGGTGAGGTGGAGAGGAGGGCACAAAGACGAGTGGGGCCTGCTGCTTCATTTCGTGTGCGATTACCCATGATGACTTGGGATGAAGGGGCAGCGCAGAGAAGATGGATGGGGCCCGGGAAATGGGTAACGGGGTGGAGACAGAGGTAGTGGGCTGTGACCACTAACACACACACACACACACAGATTCACTCTTACCCTCTTCATAATAATCTATACGCTCTCCACATAACGTTTATTCACTTTCTTGCCGAGAGTTAGGTGAAAAGATCGATACCACTCTCATGACTGTACACTAAATATGAAGCTACCGCCAGCAGCTGGTTAGCTTAGCTTAGCATTAAGACTTGACACGGGGGGAAACAGCAAGGCTGGGTCTGTCCAAACAAAACCCTCCTACATATACCAACACCTGAAGTTCACTAATAAACATATTATAAATGTTACTAAAACTAAAAATGTCCTTATTGATTAACTTGATCGCCTTATAAAAGTTATGAGAAACTTGTTAAAACAAACAGTTGTCTCTTGTCTTGTTTCTGGCCACCTGACAAATGTAAGTCCAACATTCACTCTATTGTGGATCTGTTTTTGGTCTCCACCCACTCACAAGGGGAATATGTGGCTCCGATATGTCCACCAGCAAGTGGCTAACTTGGTCTGGCTGCGGTATAGCTGCCTGCGGCGACTGGAGATCACAGGCAGCTGGGATGAGAGCCGTAAGACTCAACAACAACAGAGTCAGGTCATAATTCTCTGCGGGTTGATGTACTATGAGTGGGCCTTTTCACATAATCATTCTTTATCTATCGTTGATACAAACATTTTGATCAGAGAAGCTTCAAGTAAAAGTACCACAAGTATCAACAGAAAATTGTACTCATTATGCAATCTCAATCTGCAAAGTAACTAACTACAGCTGTCAAATAAATACAGTACAATATCTCCCTCTGAAAGTTCTTTCATAGCCTTTAAACATTTTTTAACTGTGCTATGTTTGACTTACTGTGTGTGTGATTAACTGTCTAACATGCATTGTGTTTTTTCTTACTGTTTTTCAGCTATGTGTCTGGTTTTGTAGTATATTTTCTATACTTCTGTTGCCCGTGGGTTGGCTAAAGCTGATTGGCAATATACTGCTAAACAAACAACCAGACGAGTGTGTGAGAGGGAGATAGAAAGGAGAGCGAGAGAAGGGATTTAGAAAACAGGGCTAGGTAGAGCAGAGCCGCAAGGCAGAGGGGTGGAAATGAGAGCGGAATAGAAACAGATTAATAACCTAAGCAATGAGAAGAGAAGCGGGGAGATAAAGACGAATAACTGAGTGACCGGGAGAGGCAGAATGGCTTTCAGCACCATGGACAGCCTCCAGAGCTCCCGGCTGGCTTTAATCAGACTCCGGCAGACTCCCCCCCCCCCCCCCCCCCCCCCCCCCCCTTTTTCATTCACAGGAGGACTACACACTCCACACCACAAGCACCTCTGAAGCATCCTCAGAGCGTTCAAACCACAACATGTAGATCATGCTCAGCAGCTTCCCTTGATGCGATTGTTTTTCTTCACAAAGGGACATGGTCCCCTTTTCCATCCCCCAGAGAGGATGGAAAAGACAGGGGGAAGGGTGAACGAGGGTAACACTCACCTGCTGTTCTTGCGAGGCAGGGGCAAATCCTTCTGGAAGAAAGAAAAAGAGAGGGAGATCAGGTACAAAAAATAATCATATATATACTTTCACGCGATCAATAAAGTACAACATGCCGTTTGCACCATATGCAGACAGGCCTTTAAGTTTAAAATGTAAAGCTCCCTTTTAAGTCAACATTTGAGGGCATTTTCCTTCTTAATTTGGATGTTCATACTTGAAACAGGATGTTGAGATTTGACAAAAAAAACGAAAGAAGCCATGAATTCCTTATCAGGTAGAGAGAAAAACGTAAACTCACTTAGTGAAGTGACAGCACTGGTGAAAGAAAATCCTGCCATCCTTTTTATGTTTATAGGAGGATGAAGATGAAGATCCCAGGAACCGATTAACTATTCGTTAAATCCCGCCCCGAAAAGGAACTGTCCAACCAATAGCTTTGCAACCGTAGCGAGGCCCAACAAGATGCTAACAGTGTTGATGCTAGCGTTAGCAGATTTGGGGAAGTTTTCCAGCAACCCTAGTGACATTTTTAACCACTTCAAGAACTTAACGTTAGCCTTATTAATGTAAGTCAGCTAACTAGCTACATCTGATGAAATCTGTTAGCAACAGTTGTAATTTCAGCCGGCAAAAATTACGGTCTCCAGCTTGAAATGGGACGCCTGCTTTTAAAAATACCTATATCTAAAAATCAAAGACCCATTTTTTTAAAAACTTCACCAAGAGTTTTGAGTGGCGAAGCCACCACATCTATCCTTATTGAGCTAGACAAGCGTAGCAACAGTAACAAAGCGGGTTGGGCTACGTGAGCGAAGAATTTAATTCTCTAAGTCCCGCCCCTCAAACGCAGACTCAAACGCTAGTCATGGTTAGTCGTTATGTAATAGTAGTACTCGTTACCTGGAGAGGTTGGAAAGAGATATACGTTTCTTCTACATAAAAACCTGTGGAGCTAACATTAGCAGAGCGTGTTAGCACATCATTAACTAGCGTCAACACTTCTATGCTACGCAAGAAGGTATACTGACTGTATACACATGCTTCTTTTGCTTTTTAATGATTTTAACAATAAATCAAGACCTGCTATGTCTTTTGTCCCGATCGGCAGTTGATGTGGTACACTTTGATCTGTTGGCTTTAGCTCTGATCTTTATCTTTTTAGCCTTTTTTTCGTTGCTGAATAATTTTGACACTCTGGTAATATCCTTCAAATGCACATTGAAGACCCCACTGTCTGCTTTTTATTTTTTCCATAAATTAGATAATTATTAGATATTCATGCAGGGAGTGCAGTTAGTGACAGTGTGGGCTCCTAGCTCTGAAAAGCTTGACCGAGTAGCTGTGGGGGGGGGGGCTTAGTGGAGAGTCAGAACCCAGGGCTTTTGGAGGCCTGGGGTTAAGAAATTGCCCAGCTGGTAATCCTGACTAACGAGGAAATAAATGAGACTGGAACTTACTTTACAAATGCGACTGTATGTACATGATGTATTTGGATCTATGTGTTTAAACCAGTCAGGCTGTTCATTTGAGCCAGGGCACCCCGCCCTCCCTCTTCTATCCTCCCATCTCCTGAGACCAGATGGACAGAGTATCGAGCAGCAGCAGCAGCCGACACTCACTGCACCGAAATGAAAACAGTGTTTGAGCAGAGCCAGATCTCATGCCAGCACAGGCTGGCTCTTTACAAAACCCTACACGCTGCGATAGAGAGAGATGGAGGCAGGGAGGGGGCAGAGGGTGTAAACAAGGGTGGAGTAGAGAGAGAGAGAGAGGGAGAGAGAGATGAATCATGCCCACAGCCTTACCCTTGAGCCTGAGTATTCTTGCCTCCAGCTCAGCTCCTTGATAGTGGATATGTGTGTGCGTGTCCTAGAAACACTAAATGCTGTTTTTGAGTGTCTCTGTTGTGAGCCATTGCACAGTATACAGCAGCAGATGCGATTAATGCATTAGCCGCCTCACACCTTCTCCTGTCACACGCAGGGTAATGTTGTTAAGGTGCTGTTAGCGTCGCATCGACCACCTTCTAACCACAGTCAATGCAATTATAAGGTTAACCTACAGATCAAGATCTGTGTGTGTGTGTGTGTGTGTGTCAGTGAGCATGTATGTGTGTGAGTGGACCTGCTACGACTGATCTCCACTGAAGCACAACATATGTATTAAAGTGTGGCCGCCTGAAAGCTCTGTATTACAAGGACAAACCTACAACACAGGACACAGTGTTTTTTTTTTACTTTGTCAGTCACCATCCATAAGATTAAGTCTACTGTTACCTCCAGAGGAGAAAGCCGAGTAGTGAGGCACCAAAATATACCAAACATAGTGGAAAACACTCCCCCGATGAGGAAAATAGAAAAACAATAATCTTCATAAGCCGGTCACATGCTATTCCACTGCTTGTCTCCAGGGTTTTAGGTTGTTAAGAGAGACAAATCCCTCCTTACAAGGACGACTGAATATTCAACCCATTGATCCCTCCTTGCTTTGTCCTTCATTGATCAGGCTAATTGACCCTGAGCCGTCACAGCCGAGGGGAAGATGACTTACAAGAGCGAGAGGCCTCGGGGTAAGGCTTCCCACTGATGAGGAAGGTTAACCATTCAAACAAGCCAGTGTAAACACAACCGCGTCATGTCACACGGAATAAAAATGTATTTTCATGTGCATGGCTTTCATGATAAAATGTACACGGGGCAACAAAAAGAAAGGTATCTACTGCAATTCACTTAATTGGAAGTACTTTTATAGCAATGGCAATGTCGGTCTGTTGGTCGGTCCAACGCAGATTGACACATCTCAACAACTATTAAATAGACGTTACGCATTATAGAAACTGTTGAGTTGCCAACAGCATCAATCTAGTGACTTTGTTGACTTTTTTCTCTGGCGCCACCATGAGGTTGACATTTGTGGGTTTGGGTGAAATGTCTTTGCAGCTATTGGATACATTGCCATAATATTTGGTGCAAACATTCATGTTCCACTTGGAACATTTGTAATAACATCTAAGGCTACGGTAAAACTCACAAAATTCACAGAAAAATACAAAGTGTCCTCAGTGGTATCTAAGGCCCGACAACATGTATGAAGAGTATTTAGGCAAGAATGTTGTACGTCTTCACGAAGTGTTGAAATCATGTGTAAAATAACAGGACTGTTTTGCATGAATAGTCAACGAAGTACAAATAGATAATCAAAATGCATTAAACCAGCTGTTCTTGGGCCTCAGAGCGCCATCTAGTGGGCCATGGAAGTCCTGCCGAAAAAGTGAAAATTACAATTTTTGGTTAATTACAAAGCTAGATATTATTATACGTAAATGTGCTCAAGAATTCAAACGTCAAATTAAAATGCAAAATGTTAACGTACAGTCACGTTTTGAATGTCACCGTGCAAATCACGACACATCATCAGGTTAGAGGCAAACGTGTTTTGCCGCCGTTAGCTAGCTAACTTTCATCGTGGACGCAGTGAAATGGATCGGTTTTCTGAAACAAGAGAGTGATATGGAAGACAAACCCAGTGCCAGTAAAAGCTCCTGATGCGTGCGGTGAAGAAATATGACCCTGAATACATTAAATGTGGATTCATAATGTCAGGCAGGGATGGGTGAGGGTAAGCAGAATATTTATTTTGGTCGTTACAGCCCAGCTTGTTTTTTCTACTTTTTGTATCATGTTTTTTTCTCTCTCATTTATTCGGGGAAAGTGGCCCCGTGGAAAGTTTTTAAGAATCAAGAAGTGGCCCTAAAGCCACAAAAAAATAACTGCTATACCTCTTATATCTGAGTCCAGACCTGTGAACATCTGCTCACTGTCTGTCTGATGTCCCTCTGAGGGACTATTTAATGTCTAGGCATGTCTAGACAATAAAAAAGAAAGAGCCAGTTGGCACATTAAACAACACGCAGCCGTCCACTGGTGCCTGAAATAATAAACCGGCACTATGAATATGATGCTTCCGTCCTCCCTTGGACTCTAGCTTACATCCCTGTGCTGCGGCAGGTAGCTCAATCAATCAATCCTCAGGTGACATGGCCTTTATTAACCCAGTAGAAATTCCATTAAAGTGCTCCTCTGTCACCCTCACTTTATTACAACTCTCAGCAATCAGTGTCACACACTATCTCCCTGAATGGACCCTCATAATCCCACAATTCCACTTTTAATTTGCAAAAAAGGTGAGCTAGAGAGAGCTCATTTCCCAGTTCCAATCTAGACGTTGTCGGCGGTCATTGTGCCGGGAAAGCGGCACACTGGTCCTCTTCCCAACATGCATCAGTGACTCACAGTCTCTGCGTTTTTCCGCAAAGTGAAAAATAAGCAGACAATACACATCATCATGGACACATCATCTTTGCTATTATTCAGCTCCTGAAGCCCGAGTCCTCTGTGGCTCGATCCTCCTGTGGTGTAATTAGTGTGTCAGAATTCTCGTTGCTTGGCTGCGTCTCCCACGTCACAGCACGTTGTTTAAAAAAATAAATAAGACGTCGTCTGAGGCTGACGTGCAGCCGCGTTTAGATCCCCCCCCCCCCTTGAGTCTCATTAATGAAGTCTGGCGGTTGGTGAAGGGTGACTGACATCAGACGGGAGGCTCCGTCACAAACGTGTCATGCCCACCGATCACAGATTAGAAAGCCAAACAGCTCCGCTCTCTATTTGCTCCTGTCTCTTTTCTTTTTTTGCTTCTTCCTCTCGGGGAGTCTAGCTGAGGTTTTTGAGCATTCCGCCTTAAGATTACTCCGTGTTTACAGACACAGGTCGGGCTTTTTAGTAACGAACCTGCAGATGGCCTCCTTCTGTCAGAGTGTGTTCTCTTTGACAACAAAATAACCTCTTTAATGGGTCGACTGCAGCCCTCACGCAGTGTATGTGTGTGTGCACGCTATATGCACGTGTATCTATGGTTGCCTCGTGTTGAGTCACTACAGATTAATCATTTGTTAATACACTCAACCTGAGGCCAGGGTGTGCAGAAATGAGAAGGATGTTGAAATGTGCTTACTTACAGTTAGTTAAACCATTCAAATGTAATATGATTTACCTGGGATGCTATTTTTCAGCCAATCTGCAAGGTGGAGTCAGCTAGTGCGCTAACCAGAGAGTCAATCCATCCATCCATCCATCCATTCAGCAGCCATTCAATAAGCCAGGGGCCTAAACGATGCAGGCAGTAAAACATAACTGAGACTTGAACGTGAACGCCGTCTCCTGCTTCGTGTTTTCCTGCAATATGACGAACCTATAAAAGAAAGGTCCTTTTGCTATTGTGTCCTTCAAGTCATCTTTCCTGCACTAAAGGAACAAAGAAAAGCCCCCAGTCATAATATAAAAGGCATTAGCTGAGCTGCAGGCCTATAAAGCAAACTGCAGCTCTATCAGGATGGGCCGGCCAGTCCAATCATTTTGTGGACACACTGCTGAAAGAAAAATGGTTGGGGCGTGGGCCCGGAGACGGACAATGGGGATCAATCAAGGACCGTCCTGCTGCCAAGACACAGTGACAGGACCAGCCATCATGTGCAGCGTCTGACAGAGTCTGATTGATTTGGGTTTTGACAGATGGAAAAAGGGAAAGAGGCTGATTGATGAGTGTCACGTATAAGTTGATGGTCTGGTGCTTATATTTGTGCCACCATTTATCTTATTTCTATTTGTGATGACAGTGACTGATGAGGAAAAGTCAAAGCCTAACTGACATTAAAATGTATTTTTTTGTGCTTTTTTCATAATTAGGGCCCGAGCAACCGACAATGTCGGGCCTGCGAAGGCCCTATTGATGTTGTAGGCATCCGTTATTTTTTGTGATTCTTATTTTTGCACTTCGGGAGCATTTTGGGGATACTTGCCATGCATGAAAACTCACCAAAGTTTGAGGACTTGTCAGGTCTGGTGGAACTTAGAGTCTGAAAAGGGATGCATATTTGTGTGTAAAAAAATGTCTCTCTAGCGCCCCCTACAAATCGGACCGGCAATGCCCCTCGGCCAGTATATCCGATTGACTTGAAATTCGACACACATGTCCGACTCCGCTAGATCTAAAAAAAAAAAAAGCCTCTCAGACCCCTAAGCTCCGCCTACTTAGATTTTCCGCCATATTGAATTTAGTGTAAAACACATTTTTGTGAACTCCTCCTACATGCTGGGTCCGATTACTACCCAATTTGTTGTGTATCATTATTGGATATAGATCATCAAAAGCTATTAAAAGCTTTTTGATAGCTCTTAGCATTTACAATATATGGACCAATAAACGTCTTAGGGGCGTGGCTTAATATCAATACACATAAGTTCTCAACCGTTTGTCCTAAAATTACAATATTTGCAGCATATGTGCACATCGCATCCTGTAACATACCCTGAGAATTGTTTTGCATTCAACCACTAGGGGGCGCTACAGCAAACCCGGAAAGTTGTGCTTTTTGTCAGTTTTTGCATTTTTCAGCCTTCCTCCTTTAACGAACTCCTAGAGAATTTATGCGATCAACTTCTCCTTTGGTCAGGATGCTCTTAAGACCTTTGTGATGAAAAGTTATCAAAATCGTGCGCTTTCATCGAAGAACCTTGACGTGGCGGCCATTTTGCCTCATTGTTTATGAAAATATAAGTTGTTATAACTCAAAGGTACATTATCCAATCTACACAAAACTTCTTATGCATGATGCTACTTCAAGCTTGAACATACTTCAATTGAAAAAACCTCAATAACTCATAGCGCCGCCTACTGGCTAAAGGAAATGTCAAATTTTATACTTTTATTTATTCCTCCTAGCCAGGTGAACTGACGAGTCTCAAATTTGGTAAGGATAGCCTTAAGACATTGATGATAAATCGCCAAGAATATTGTGCGTTTTCTTTGAACGCTGTTGCTGTGGCGACGCATTGTTCGCCATGAAAAGCGAAGCTGACGGTTTTACTAACTTGGGAAGCTCAAAAACGCATGCAACTTTTTACATGTGTCAAAGGTCATTGGAAGAAATATTGTATATGATTTTTTTAATCGTCCGTTTTAAATTGCCTCTATAGCGCTCCCTACAATATTTCAAAAGAGCAGCCCCAGCGCTACATGTATGAAACTTGAGAGGTACATGTATCCTATGGAGACTTAAAAATAAGTCTCTTGGGACCATGCTCTAAACCCTAGCGGAAGTCAGCAAAGTTCATTTTTGTGTCATTTTTCCATAGAATTTGGCGTATTTCTAGTCGCTATACTTTAACGAACTCCTCCTAGGGACTTCATCAGATCCTGTTTAAATTTTGTCAGTACAATCTCAAGACACCTGTGATTAAAAGTTATCAAAAGCTTTACGTTTGACGGAATCGTTTAGCCGTAGCGGGCGGCTACTGTCAGTAGTGTAATGTGTGTGGTCCAAACTCTTCGTGAGCGGGCACTTAAAATACTTCACAACATGTATAACTTCCAACTGCCACACAGTTAGTCAAATGTAGCGGGCTAACGTTGTTAGCTGTTGATTAGGTCCATCTTGAATTTGACAATTTTTAACGGTACTCCGTTACTCTGCACGTTACTCCGTGGTTTAATTCAAATAGAGGGTAACGTGTAGTTTTGTGGTCACAGATCTACACACAGGACTAGATTTCCGCCGTGAGCTTCCGGTCGTTAGCCGTCACCCCAACTGGTTACAAAAAGTAACGTCGTGTGAGGATTTGTGCTAATGCTAGCATGCTAGGCTAAACTAGCTTCCACTTTCCGGGTACTACAGGTCCTCCCAAATGTTGACCGTTTTTAAGGGACAGACAGCTTAAATTGCTAACAGTTGTTAGCTTACACATTGTTGTACAAGGGCTAATTTGTGTCAATAGCATATTCAGTAGCCTAAAGCTTATAACCACGGTGTCCACAAATATGTCCAAAAACGAATTCATTTTCTTTTTGAAAGGACATAATAGCTGCGTAATCATTATAGTTCCTATCTTCTTGGACAAAAAGTGTGTATCTTTTTATTTGGACGACAAGCCTAATGGAATTAGTGTCATTTCTAAAAATGTGCTTTGCGTGACTATGTGGGCCAGCGAGCCAATTGAAGTGACGCAACGTGCAGCAGGCACAAAAATGCAAATTTTCACGTTAGTCATGTTGAAGTGATGCATCACGGGTGTGACCCCTGACCCCAACTGCAAGGGAGCGGGGGTGGGGTGTGTGGGAGGGTGGGTGTCACCATATGGTGCTGAGAGAATGATTGTGTGTGTGTGTGTGTCAGAGAGAGAGAGAGAGAGAGAGAGGGAGAGAGAGACGGTTGGCATGATGAGACCCAGGGGAGTGACAACAAGGCTTTTGAGCGGGACAAGCAGAGCCAATCACACGTCAACACACACACACACACAGACAGAGACATACAGCAAATCATTCAGCTCGGCCTGCCTATATCTATAAAATGCCAGTGACATAGCGAGTCTGACTCTACGATGATTAATTCCCTCGCATCTCCTGTCATACATCACGGCGGCAGAGCAGTAAGCTGCTCACCTCACTACTAATCCTCCCTTGATTCCTTTACACACTCTCTCTCTCTCTCTCTCTCTCTCTCTCTCTCTTCACAATAATGGGGGTCAATTTTCCCACCGAGCAGCTCGGAGCTGCAACTGACAGCCCTCGCTGGACAATTCTCCCTTTTTTCAGCAACATACAGAAAGTAAATGCACATACACTTGCGGGGTGGGCTGCTCTCTATACGCCTGGCCTGCAGGCTGCTCATCCCTGCTCAGTTCACTCGACTGAATCACACAAAGATGGGGGGGGGGGGGATGACCCGTGGTTAAGCAGGCTGCTTCATAATGGATGAGCGCAGTGGTTTGCACGCGTCATATCTGTATGCATGAGTGACGACTCATTACCAGCATTTGGTGAAGGAGACTGTGTGTAAGCTCCACCTAATAGAAATGATCCTGAAGTGAGCTTTGTTACGAGAACATATGGGATGTCCTGGATTTATTAAAAAACTATGGGGTCACCACTTTGTTACGATACACTCAACCACCTGAGACGCACTGTGTGACCCCTATTAGGGGAGACACAGAGATATCATCATGTTTTTGGGGCTTTGCTTAGCGATGAGACTGCAGATTGCTGTATTTTCCTACTGTAATACTGCGATTGTTGTAATACTGCGATTTCTATTGTAATTTGTAGCCATAAATTCACAGTAACGTGTCATATAAAAATGCATAAATAAGCATGTGGACTCTCCGCGTGATGGCATGGTGTCTGGTTGTGTGGCCTACAGCTGGAAACAATAGGAAAAAATATTTTTTAGTAGAGTAAATGACACATCACAGGATGACGATGACGAACCAGCTCACCTGCAGCCTCCGGCGCCGGATTATCCCCGAGTCATCCATGGCGTAACGAGGTGCGGCGGGGGTTTCCCCTCACTAAAACTATATTTTGATTCCCCCCCCCCCCTGTCCCCACCCTCACTATTAAGATGTTTTTCAACCCGGCAGGGCTGCGGCATCCACCGGTTCACACCCGAACCGCACAGCAGCAGCAGCACCGTCCTGGCGCACTCGGAGCCAAAGAGGCGCACACAGTGTCACGTCGAAGAAGCCCAGGAAAACACACGCATGTCAAGCAGTCCCATTCCGTCTGGTTCACCCCCAAAAAATGTCTCTGGGAAAAACACACAAAAAAAAGCAGTTAGCAGTTTGTCTCAGCCCCCACTTCTAACCTGCGTCTCGGGGGTTGCCAGTCATGCAGCTGTCTCTGCGGTCTGCGCTCCCTCTCGGAGCATCCTTGACATTTTGCCCAGAGGTGTTTTTGTTGTTGTTGTTGTGCGCTTTGATACCGCCCAGCCGACCGGAGGCCCGAGCGAATCACTGCGAACACAGACGTGTAAGTGAGCTACGCGTAGGACGAGCCCGACCCAAGTTCTTCTGTTGCTCCGCAAAAACCTCCCGAAGAAACGCGAGCCTCTCCCCACATTCGCCCCACAAAGGACGGCGTGTTCCAAAAAGCTCCGCGCGGGTTTAAAAAATAAAATGACGGGGTGGGGGCGATGCCTTTTTTTACACACTACTGCGCCGTACAGTTGTTGAGCGGCGCTGCTCCGAGACGCGCTTCATCCTCTAGAGCCCGGCTGACATTGCCGCTGATTCGCCGCGGAGGAGCCTCTGTCTGCTCCCGTTAGCGTCACCGGGGGAACGAGGACAGCGCGTGCGTTCCTCCCCTCGCTTCACGTCTCACGCAAGTTTGAACTCTTCGTCCGCTTGCTTCCTTCGCCCGTCCGTTGCTCCTCAACCTTCACTTCCTCTGATACTGGTGACTGGACGGGGCGACAGCAGCAACGCGATATTTGTAACCCCCCCCCCCCCCTCCACCCTTCCTTCCTGGGAATCCCTCTCGCCCCTCCTCCCCCTGCTCGCGCGGAGGAGTGTCCGTCTCCGCGTGAACTAAGGAGCGTACAGATACAGCTCACACTACATGGGCTCAGTTTAAGGGCTTTTTTTTGTTTGTTGTTGCTGCTTTTATATCCTGAACGTGGCGCGGTGTAGTTCAAGCTCACATTTGGAACACTAAAGCTTTTCAGACGACAGCGTGGGTGATGTGAATGTGGGTGTACGGAGGCCGGTTAGAGACACGTTCAGTACCACAGACAGCGACACAGTGTTCACAGTAAACCGACAGCGTCGCCCCACGTTGCAGTAAACATTTGTGCTCATTTAATCACCTTTTGGGTCGTGTTAAGGGTTAAACGTCGGCTAATGCTAACATTATTATAAGCCACTTGGTGGCTCTACAATGCAATGCAGATGTTGAATGTATCAGCAAAAGGAAACATGATGACAAAAACACCATTCTTAGCTATAGTAAATGGATGTAGGTTAATTCAGGAACCTTTTCCTTAAAGTGTAGCCTATAAGTTACATTATTTAGGAAGCTTCGTGTCAAACAGATTAGCTTGAATAAATGACTAATGACGATTTCTTTGCACAATAAGCTAACTATGTGAATGCATTCAGTGAATAGGCCTATGACGCTACAGCCAGCAGGTGGTTAGCTTAGCTTAGCATGGCTTGTCCAAAGGTAACACAATCTGCGGCCAGAAAAAACAAAGAAGAAGGCCGCAACACGAAGTTTCCACCCACGACATTCCGTGATTGACAGGGCAGTTGGCCCTTTGGCAAAGTCATTGTATAATGTCTTGCTAGAGATTAGGACTTTTACACAGTTTTTTATGTAACATATGTTCCAGGCTGCCCACACAGTCACGACCTCGTCAGTGCCAGACACAGCGAGAGATCTGCAACAGAGTGTCCAAACCCAGCCCACACTGACCGATTCCGAAAGGAAATGGGCAGGAAGACAGCAGGAAGACGGCAGGAAGACGGCAGGAAGGCTGCAGGAAGGCTGCAGGAAGGCTGCAGGGATGCTGTTGGTCCAAAATGACTGGCAAACAATTTTGCATTGTAAGGAAAAGGCTCTCTGCAAAGAATTGTCAGCTTCACTGACAAACAAAGTGTCCTTTTTAGCTTAATTTTGTTCGAACCTTTACCTCAGGTGAACCAACTACAAATGTCTGTTTAGTCAGCCGGCCACTTTGGTCCAGACTTCAATTTCTTAACTACTATTGGGTGGATTGCCATGCAATTTTGTAGAGTTATTCATGGTCCTCAGCGGATGAACCTGTCTGACTTTGATGATCCTGACTTGTCCTCTAGCACCACCAACAGCAGCAGCAGAATCAAGGGCCAAACGGACATGCATCGAGGTGAAACAAATTAGCCCATCATTTTCATTCTTTATGGATAAAGGTTTGAAAGACAACACATATATTGATTGTGGCTGACGTAACAAACAGAACTAGATATCGCAAGTGTCTAAAACAGTGAATTCAGAAAAAAAATGTTCCCCTTGCTGTGGCAGAATGTGTTCAGAGACGCACACATCTTGTCAGAAAATAAAAAGCCCCAGCAAGCAGGCAGTTATTTGTTATATCAAATGGAGCTGTCAGGGCCGTCTGGCTGGCAGTCGGAAAGCCAGATCGCCTCAGTGCTGATGGCAGTACTTTGTTCTGTAGCTCAGTAAAACCCTGACAAACAGAGAAAACTCCTGCAGCGCTGTCGACTCCCTCTCACATACACAAAGCCGCATTTGCCTTCGCGCTCCTCTCCGCTGTCAAAGTCTGGAGTGGCGCTTGTGCCGCAGTGGAGCCGGGGGGCCATGTAGCAGGCAGGAGAGGCTATTGATTTCTGCTCCGGCACCGGCTAAGCTGCAGCTCACTGGAAAAAGCCCGGCGCAGGTGGGAAGGCTGGCCGGGGAGCCACACTTCATTGAGTTTTATAATGTGGTCATTATAGTCGCTGCAGAATGAACTGCATGGTGCTCAGCGGCTGCTGAACACAGGCCCGATGCTGCTTTCACATCCTCTTACGTAATCAGTTTTTTTAATCCCTTTGAGTTTGGAGAGTAACAGCTGCTCAGTTTTTGTTTGGAACAAACTCAAGGACAAACAACCTTAACTACCCTCCGTAGTTATATATTGAAAATAATTGCTCATATCTGTCTTTAAAGCGGCTATAAGCGATGTCATCTCTTGCTGCAGTTGCAGCTTTAACATCTATGGGGGTTTGCATCATTGCATATCTGTAAATGGCAAAAATACCAAAGACAATAAGGAATTATTCATTTAATTGACACGTTTTTAACAGTATATTTGGTTTTTATCGTATAATCATATCAATTTGTTACAACTACTGACTATGTCACCCGAAAAAAAAGAAGAAGCCTTTTCCAAGGAATATATAGCAAATGGCACAAGTAATGTGAGTTCTATAACTAAGGCCTGTATGTTTGGAAGGCTCACTCTCTACACGGCCTCCCGCCTGTACCATATACTAATATGTTTGTGCCATTGCCTCAGGAGTTCTTGGAAACCAAAAACAACGGTACATGAGAGACAATATTGGATTTACATTCACCAAGTGGCCAGAGACACAACTCCAAATGCATGCTGATGTCCCTGTGTTTGTGCTGGTTATGTGAATAGGCAACTGTTTGCTAACGAGTTAATCATATCAAGTCAAACAATAATATTAAACCAAGCTGAACAGCAATGTGTTACCGCCCTGTCTGGTTGGTGTTTTCAAGTCTGTTTCCCCTCTGAGAGTGGTCCAAAGTGTGCTCTGTGCAACACTGATGTCATGGGGTCCTTGAGAACATATGTACAAAACTGAAGGTCAGAAGGGTCAACTGAAGGCAAGGTGTTCTGGAGGTGTTCATTTTCTCTTTAAAATGTGACAAAAGCGGTTCAGGATTATGAAGTTATGGAATCGCAGATGTCCACTGTGCCAATTAAATATCATCCTTTCTCCCGCTCATTTTTCAACGACAACGTGCCTCCTAAAGATAAAGATTAGTGCTCAGACACACTTTGACATCCATTTCCCGTTATTCAACTGAAACACCCGCGCACTCACATCACTGTCCGACTGTCCAGAAGACACGCGATAGGACAGAGGTCTCTCCCCTGCCGTCTCACTCAGAAATGATGATCATTTAGATTTTTTGTTTTTTTAGATGTTGGGGCTTCGGATGACAGAATGTTTATGGTCTCATGACTCTGCTTAATTAAATAGCACACATGGTGCACACACACACACACACACACACACACACACACACACACACACACACACACAGAATAGGAGCAGTGATGCTTTCCAGATCACTGAAAAACAACTGTACAGCTGCCGATCTTCAGTGTACCGAGCATCAGCAAAAAAGTATGATTATGTAAAAGGAAATCCATAAAATAATCTGGTTGATGCACTGGGGGGCACTCATATTATTGCGGGAGCCGTATACAAAAGAGAAAGGTTGTGTCAGATGAATCACTGTTTAATCAGTCTTAACTTTTCTTACTTCTTCTACAAGGAGGGATTTTAATATAAAACTGATTTTAGCTTTTTGCTGTGACTGTGAAGATGTTTTGATTTTCTATAATCAGTGGTCAGTAGTTTGCAGGGTTAAGCAAATATCTCTATTACAGTAACTGTGACGGTTTACTCACTAAACTGTTTGTTAAAAATGCTCATATCAATTTGTGTGCGCTACTCGTCGGCGATGACGCCGTCGGTCAGGACGACATTAACGGCGGCAACCACCGTACGACAGCAGCGCTTCTATGCAAACAAAGCACAGAGAAGCTCGGATTACAACACACACAGAGTGACTTCACTCTCTGCTCAGGTAGACATTACTCCACCATATCTTCACATAGCAAATAGTTCTTTGCATCCATATAATTAATGCTCTGAATCTCAAATGTAGCATTAATTTAACATCAATTTAACATCATTATCGTTAAAAGACTTTCCTCCTCCATCAAATCATTTTGAAGGCTAAAGAATTTATCACATCTATAGAAACCAATCGAGGTCCGCCATGAAACTTACACGTGTGTGATGATGTGGAAACCTGAATCCGCGAGTGTGCACACAACTTTTTTGTGTAAGAAACATATTGGACACTATTCATTTTTTGAGGAGAGTATAGATGGCGCATCTTTAACTGAGCAGGTAGAGTAAAGATTTTGGTATCATATGAAACTAGAGGACCAATGGTTCTATTGGTACCCATGAGTCCCACGAGAAAAAACTTGACACACTTGAGCTGCATCTCAGATCAATCTTAAGGTTCCCACCTTTCAGAGGACATCGTGCACTTCTATGTGGAATATACTTTTATCTCCCCCTAAAGATCCCCTGTCCCTCCCTAAAAAAGACAAAAAATGGGTCAATGTGGGACTCTGAACAGCAACGACCCGTCAAGGTTAATGGGCACTGTTATAAACAGGTACGATCCTCAAGCACCAAGTTCAACATCAATGGTTTTGCCCTTTTCAAGCCTCCGTCGGCTCATTGGGGCTCGATGGTCACAGACCATAAATCCTGTAAATTGGAGTGTGAAAGAGAAAATATCCAAAGGCTCGTTAAAGCTTCTGTTCCGATTATTCTACGGCGTCAAGAACACCAACTGAGTCATCCACTCCAAGCCAAACACACAGCACAAACAAACCTCTTTTCCTAGTGTGAGTTTGTGTGTGTGCGTGTGTGTACTTGTAAACACACTGAAACACACACACACACACACACACACACACACACTGTCTGTGTTGAGAGAGACCTCTAGAGGATCACCATTACCAGGAAACAGACACAGCGGGAGCAAACAGGGCGCCTGTTGTCTTAGAAGGAACAATTTAAAACAATGAGTGTGTGTGTGTGTGTGTGTGTGTCACTATTATGGCTATTATGGTGGATTAGGTGAAATTA